CCATGTTGTCTTTTTGGAAGGAGCTTATCCAATGATTCCAAATTAGCAACGACATTTTCATATCAATTTTAATCTGTGGAGTGCAATGATAAAGAAACCAAGGATATGGGATGCAGTGTGGGTGGGTGGAGGACTTCAATATCTACTACCAAGTCTATTACCACCACTAACCAAGGAGGCCGAGTCTTGAAGGACAAATTGCTGGATGAACCTCCATTATGCGTTTTGGGTAGCCCCTCACCAACTTCTACAGATGCACCATTGAAAGCATACTGTCCGGGTGCAGAAAAGCCTACTATGGCAACTGCTCTGCCCAAGACCGTAAGAAACTACAGAAGGTTGTGCACAGCCCAGACCATCATGAAAGCCAACCTTACATCCATGGACTCTAGTTACATGGCTTGCTGCTGCAGAAAGGCAGCCAACATCCTGGGAATGACCTCCTTCAACCTCTTCCATCGGACAGAAGATACGGAAGCCTGAACAACTGCACAAGCAGGTTCAAGAACATCATCTTTCTGGCCATTATCAGACTGTTAAATGGACTCTAGCCTCAAATAATCTTACCTGCAATGTAACCAAAATCTCATCCTCAAAGTGAAAGTACCCTTCACTGTATAATGTGAGAGTATAGTATGCATTATGCCAGTGTGCTCTGCGTTGATATATCCATTAAGTTTTCTTTCAAACACTACGTACTGGCTTGCTTTATAGATATACACTAAAGCACTTTGAAGTGTTTCCATAGTAGTGTTTCTGCTAATATCTACAGACTCACAGCCACATAGCAATTTGGCACTTGCTGTGCAATAAAGTACACCAAAGAATAATTCGAGTAAACGTTTTACTGTAGGAAATGATCATGTGGTTGAAACAGTAGGAGTAACAGTAGGAGAAGGGGATCCAGTACTTTCATAAGTTGGCAGGAATATAGCCAATGTTGAAATGTTTTACACTAGCACATGACTGTTCATGAACAGGGATAGATAAACAAGAAAAAAAAGTTAGGCTTTCTGTAGCCACAAGAATTTCATCATTTGGAAAGATATTTGTTACCCAGGAAGCTGCTATACCCTTTTATTTTTTGTTCCGGGATAGTTTCTCCTTGATAGGTGGATTTTTCAAGATCACTGAAAATCTCTGCCACAGACACTGCTCTGCAGCTAATACACAACGGAAAACATGACTCATTGTGGCCAAGTCTGCCACCAGGGTCCAAATTGAGTTTGATCTGCTAAATATTGCACATGTTGCACATGTTGCAATTTGGAAAGACATGTTTGCTTTATAACTCGGGTTGTGAATATTCCCAACCATTTGGCTATGTTAAATGAATTAAAATTGCCTGTAACAAGTTAATTATAGTTGATAAAAATTCTGTTCCATGGCATGATTAAAGTTAAGCATGTTAAAAAGTTAGATTCCGGTCTTTTCAGAGTGGATTAGGGAATATTTTTGGGCACACACTGAAGTGGTCAAAATCTGGTCGTCTTTTACAAGCTGCAATCGAAGGTAGATCAATTATTAATTTTAAAGATGAGATTACCTTTGGCTGATGAAAATTGATTGATGGAGGATACAGGGTACAAACAGATATATGATTTGGGTTATTGTTGCATTTATATCTTGCTTTTCACATCCCAAGACATCCCGAAATACATCACAGCTAATTAAGTACTTCTGAAAAGTCATCATTTTTTTACAGCAACATGCACAGCAAGGATCCAGAAACAGCAACAGGATACCTGATAGGATATTCTGTCATATTGATGCTGTTTGAAGACTGAATATTATCCAGAATACCGGTAGACCTCACCTGTTCTTCCTCAGACAGTGCTATTGTATTATTTATGTAGACCCAGGCAACCGATAGGGGGCTCAGTTTGGCAACTTATTGGAAAGGTATAACTCCCTCATTACTGGATTGAAGAAGCATCTCAGACTATGTGCTTAGGCCTTTGGGGTGCAAATTTTATCCATAATCTTCTACCTCAGAGATGAGAGGGCCACCCCTAAGCCATGTTGGGACACTGCAAACTTTTTACTGCTGATTGACTAGATGCAACAGCTGGAGAAATTGGAGGAAGACCTCAACTTGTTGAAGATGATTAACATGATTACATTTCAGCTGAGAATTTCAGAGCAGGTACACATTCTCCTTTCGGTAATGAGTTTATATACACTTTTAACTATACTCACAGCCATTTGAGGCATTGTAGCAAAAACAAATTGATCTTGGTTAATTATCTTTATTCACGTGAGCATCACTTACAGGGCCAGCATGTATTGTCCATCTGAATTGCCCTTGATGAGATGGTGGAGTGCTGCCTTCTGGAACCACTGCAGTCATTTCATATAGGCAGACCCACAATGGCATGAGAAGAAGTTCCAGGATTTTGTCCTCGTGACAGTGACAGCATGGCATTATATCTCCAAGTCGTGATGGTGAATGCTTTGGAGGGGAATTTGCAGGTGATGGTGTTCCCATGTAGCTACTGCCCTTGTCCTAATAGATAGTTGTGGTCATATGTTTGGAAGGTACTGTCTGAGGAGTCTTGGTGAATTTCTGCAATGAATCATGTGAATGATGCTCGCTGCTGCTACCATGTATTGGTGTTGGAGGGAGTGAATAGTAACATAGAAAATAGGAGCAGGAGTAGGCCATTCAATATGATTCATCCAACTCAGTATCCTCTTCCCACTTTCTTCCAATATGTTTACATCCCTTTATCTCTAAGAACTATATCTAACTCCTTGAAAATATTTAATATTTGGTCTCAGCTGCTTTCGGTGGTAGAGAATTCCATAGTCGCACCACTCTCTGGGTTAAGAAATTCCTCGTCTCAGTCCTAAATGGCCCATCTCTGTATCCTTAAACTGACATGAAAACAGGAGTTGCTGGAAAAGCTCAGCAGGTCTGGCAGCATCTGTAAAGAGAAATCAGAGTTAACGTTTCGGGTCCAGTGACCCTTCCTTTTTATCCTTAAACTGACTTCTGGTTCTGGACTCCTCAGTCATCAGGAACATCCTTCCTCCTATTACCCTGTCAAGTCCTGGTAGAATTTTGTAGGTTTCTATGAGAACCCACTGCATCCTTTTAAACTCCTGTGAATATAGGCCCAACTGATGCAGTCTCACTTCATAGGCTGTTCTTGCCATCCCAGAAAATCTGTCGATGTGGTGCCAGTCAAGTGGATGCTTTATCCCATGTGATATCAAGTTTCTTGAAATGTTTTGGAGCTGTACTCATCGAGGCAAATGGGGAATATTCCATCACATTCCTAACTTGTACCTTGTAAGAGGTGGACAGGCTTTGGGGAGGCAACAGTTGAGTTACTGCTTGCAAGATTCCTAGCCTCTGCCTTGCCCTTGTAACCACAGTATTTATATGGCAAGTCCAGTTTAGATTCTCATCAGCAGTAACCCCTGTGGATGTTGATAGTGGCGGATTCAGCATTGTTTATGCCATTGAATATCAAAAGCAATAGTTAAATTTTTCTTGTTTAGAGATCGTCATTACCTGGCACATATGTGCTGCAAATGTTGTTTGCCATTTGTCAGCCCAAGCCTGGATATTGTCAGGTCTTTCGGCATTTCTACATGAAATGCTTTAATATCTGAGGAGTCAAGACGGGTGCTGAACATTGTGCAATCATCAAATAATATCCCCGCTTCTGACCTGATGATGGAGGTAGGTTATTGATGAAGCAGCTTGAGATGGTTGGGCCAAGGACACTTTCCTGAGGAACTCCTGCAAAAAATGTCGTGGAACTGAGATGATTGACTTCCAAAAACTACCACCATCTTCCTATGTTCCAGGTCTGGCTCTAACCAGTGGAGTGTTTTCCCCTGATTCCTATTGACTCCAGTTTTGTTAGAGCTTCTCAGTGTCACACTTCGTCAAATACGGCTTTGAAGTCAAGGGCAGTCACTCACATCTAACCTCTGGGATTCAGCTGTTTTATCCATGTTTGAAACAAGTCTGTCATGAGGTCAGGAGCTGAGCGACCCTCGCGTAACCTAAACTGAGCATCAGTGAACAGGCCATATCTAAGCGAAAGCTGCTTAGTAGCACTGTAGATGACACCTTCTATCACTTTACTCATGCTTAGAGTAATTGATGGAGTAATTGAATAGGTTAGATTTATCTTGATTTTTAATTAGATTTTATTGTTATGTGTATTCGAGTATAGGAATACAACAGTACCATGAAAAGTGTACAAAGTTACCATTCTTCAGCACCATCACAGTAGACAAAAGACAGTTAAAAATGAAAACAGAAATAAAAGAAACAGCTGAAAGAAAAGGAAATGTCCAGATCTCTGCCATGAGTCCTTGCTGCCAGAAAATCAAAGCCACAAAGTCCATCCCTCAGAAACAAAAACAGAAGTTGCTGGAAAAGCTCAACATGTCTGGCAGCACCTGTGAAGAAAAATCAGAGTTAACGTTTTGGGTCCGGTGACCCTTCCTCAGTCTGCGAACACTCCAGTCCCCAAGTCCCCACACGCAGCCACGGCCAGAACACCACCACCTCCGCCATCAGGAACCTGGGTCCAGCCATGTACTGGAGCCGCACCACTGCCATTGGAATCGTGAAGCCATTCTTTGGAGCCATCTTGCCTCGAATGACATCATTGCCACCATGGGTCTGCGCTGGGCTGATTTCGACCATGCAACCGCCATTGAAGCTGTACCTGAGATTTTCATTGACAGATGGATCCCAGTGTTATAGCTGTACTGGTACTCAAGTCTTCCATATAATTGCCAGGATGTTGTTGGAGCCCATTGCCTTTGCAGCATCTAGTGCCTCCTGTTTCTTGACATCATGTCTTTGGGTTGCTTTGTAGGTGCTCTTGTTCCTGCTTAGACATGGTTTTTAAAGAGTTATTCAGTAATTTCTGATATAAATATGCTGCCAGCTGTTATTAATGCAATGGTAGCACTGTTTTAAAGAAAATTGATTTTCTTTTAATAGCTGGTAATGTCTGCTCTTCTTTCAGAGTTTTCGTCCTGATAGAGGTGGAATACCACCACCAATGCGACTGCCTCCACCTTACAAAGAGCCCATAAGCAATCAGCTGTCAAAACCAGAAGAACTGGAAGAGGTCTCAGACACTGACAGTGCTCCAAACAAAGGAGTTGAAAGTGACCGTAAGTTCAACTGGTGTCAGTGCTTTTTTTATAATGTGACGGTATAAGATATTGCTATTCCCCATTCAGTGATTCTGCCAACTGCTAGGATTTTGGGAAAATTCTTGGGAAGAGGCAAGATTGCTGTTGTCAAGATATGTCTAATTATTCCACGTATGAGAGTCACTGAATTCTTTCATAGTCTTGTTAGTATGTCCAACTGGAAATATTTCAGAAGCGTGTGATGATATTGGTGAAGGTGAAAATAGATACAGAATGAAATATCCTCAACCTTTGGATGTGCTTTAAGGTTTTGCAGCAATTTCAATTCAGCATAAAGTTTGATAGCACAAGGAAACCAGTTGTTCATTTCAGGAAAGCTTTTTTATGATTTTTTAATAAAAAAGTTATTTTCAATTTTTGTCCTCCATTCATACTTTTGCTTCCACGATGAGAAATGTCACATGACAGCTTCCTATTTCAAGTTTTCTGTAATCTTTGCACTGGTCAAGATGACGAAATGGTTTAGTTAAGGATTGGTTTTGCTCTGCCAATTAGCTCAATCTTGCTTGTTATAGAATTATGCAAAGATTTTGGTGTTTTCTTAGAAACCTTTGTTCTGAAAATGGTGTGGCTACTAACATGTCAAAAATCCAGTAGCATTGTAGTAGGATACTCACTCCAGCATTAAAAAGAGGCAGGGCTTATTTTAGGCTGGTTGGAGTTCCTGGGATACAAGCCAACAAACTTGTAAGGTATTCGGAAAGGAACCATGATCTTGCTTGTAGCATGGAAAACAAATAAGTGTCTATAAATTCCTGTCTGTCACCTTCCCGTCTCTCAAACTTTGTATTCAGCTTTTATTTGTCAACAATGATAGAGGGATAGTAATTAAGAAAAATTGGGCAGAGTGCCTTTCTCCATTTTCATTTAAATATAACAGGCAAGGGGAGGCAATGGCCTAGTGGTATTATCACTGGACTGTTAATCCAGAGAATCTGATAACATTCTGGGAACCTGGGTTCAAATCCTGCGATGGCAGATGGTAGAATTTGAATTCAATAAAAAAAATCTGGAATTAAGAATCTAATGATGACCATGAATCCATTGTTGATTGTTGGGAAAAACCCACCTGGTTCACTAATTCCCTGTAGGGAAGGAAACTGCCATCCTTACCTGGTCTGGCCTACATGTGACTCCAGACCTGCAACAATGTGGTTGACTCTGAACTGCCTTCTGGGCAATTAGGGATGGACTATAAATGCTGCCTAGCCAGCGATGCCCTCATCCGTTATTGAATATAGAAAAAAAAAGGTAAGTGAAAAAGGATGTTAGGGGAAGGTTGGAATTTGTAGGAGCTGATTTCAGCCATTCATTAAATCTCTGCTTTGTTTTGCCTGTTCCAAACTGAGTAGCTCGCTGTGGGGAAAATCCAGAGCTTTCTATTTCAGGTACCAAGTGAAAATAAATTTGCTTGTGTACTGCAGACCTGACTTGATTCCTTAGGGGTGATCAGGTAGCATCACAGACTGTTACCTGATAAGGATATCAATGGAAAATACTGCAGAGATAAGGGCTCGTGATGCTTCCTGCACACTTGTGGGAATGAGGTAAGTCTGTAAAGTGCAGCCAAGATTTCTCTCGATGTTAAGGTCCCCTCAATGTTAAGGTCCAATGGCAATTCAATCTTTCCTGCCCTTTGGAAGCTAAAGTAAATATAGGCCGTAGTGGATGGGCTTTCTTCTTGGATTATGCTTTATTTGCTACGCTCTAAAAATATACAGTTTTGGTGATTAAAACTTCAACCGTCCAAGTTTTAAGAAAAGCTGATTTTATGATATATTTGTTTTCAATACGATTTCTATCTTTTTCATTATAACTGATTAAACTCCATTAACTTGATAATTTTATTGGAAGTTTGAACAGGTTCAAAAGTGTCATGTCAAAATTGTATCAAATTATAGCGGCAATGTTAATGCAAGCTTACATGAAAGGCACAGAATTAGAGTAAACACCAACCTTCCATTGTCTTTAAATAGCCATTTGTGATTTGCAGCCTCATGAATTGAATTTGTAAAGTTGCCCAACTGATGTTTGGAGCTTATCCTGTTCTTGCTTCAGATCTACACATGCTATCAAATGTTAAAAGCAATGTAATTTATGCAAGCAATCAAACAGATAATCTTTGTTTAACATTGTGGTTCCTTTCAAAAGAATTTCTGAGCTAATTTCTGTAAAACCAAATTAAGTGAATCATACATTCCCATTGGGATCATTGTTAAGGCCAGAGTTAGGTTCTTTCAGATAGTTTCTTTTCTGCAAAACCAACATATAAGATGAAAAGCAGTAGAATACATGTACAGCACTCTGCATTTCCAACTGAAATAGCATGCAAACTAAAATAAGTAACTGAGTTTAATAGAAATGCTGTATAAATTTACATTTGAAAAAAAATTGAAGGATTGAGTGCAGCTTTGAACCAAGGCTGTTAAATTATACACTGATATAAATTATATTAATGTTCGTACAACTTTTTCATACTTATATGCATCATGTTCCATAACGGTTATCCTCTGCTCTAAAAACACTTGCTTAATTGACACTATACAAAAAATAGTGATGAGTTCATACCAGAGAAGTGGGACAAAAGTTCCGTAATCTTTGTCCACAAGATCTTTTGGGTTAGTCCTTGCTGATCCATAGCCTTCCTTTCGTCAAATGCTTCCACTGGTTTGCAAGAGGCACAGGGTGGCTGGTTTATTTATAAAAGCCTTTGACTTAGCCAACTCAAAGTCATACCTTGCATCATCTGCTGAAACAAAGATACACATTTTGTAAAGAATTAAAATGGCCTACTGCAGAAAACTGAAAGAAAGTAAATTTTGGCTGCTGCAGAGCTGCTGGTTTCTCTTCTGGTCTGATGAGCTTCTCTCTGTTTTCTTCACAGCCCAAACTGTTCAGCTACCTGACAACAAATCACATTATTGGGAGGCAGAGGAGCTGTATCATTGATCATTAGTAAAACGATGGAAGGTGTCATCAACAGTACTATTAAGCAGCACGTGCTCAGCAATATCCTAATCATTGACATCCACTTTGGGTTCTGCCAGTGTCACTCAAATAACTGCTGGCTCAGCCAGTAATGCCCAACTCCCATGAGTGAATTTAAAACAAAACTGGCCACGAGTCCACATTAATCAGTTTCAACTGTAAACAACCCCACAGCTCCAGTTCATTTGCACATTGTTGGAAATCACAGCTTAACTCCATAGAATCATAGAATCCCTACAGTGTGGAAACAGGCCCTTCGGCCCAACAAGTCCACACCGACCGTTGCAGCCTCCCACCCAAACCCACACCCCTATAACCTACCTAATCTACACATCCCTCAACACTACAGGGCAATTTAGCATGGCCAATCCACCTAGCCTGCACATCTTTACACTGTGGGAGGAAACTGGAGCACGCAGAGGAAACTCATGCAGACACTGGGAGAATGTGCAAACTCCACACAGTCAGTCGCCCAAGGGTGGAATCGAACCCGGGCCCCTGGTGCTGTGAGGCATCACTGCTAACCAATGAGCCACCATGCCGCCTAGACAAATAGAATTCACAAAAAGTATCAAAGTCCAGCAGTCTTCTTTGCAAATCCTTGGGGTTCAAAACAGTTTGAATTACATTTCAGTGTACAATTTTTAAAAAGTGAAAATAAAAAGACATTGTCTTTGCAAGGGAAATAGACCTGAATTTTTGGTATTTAGCAGGAATCGCAAAAGATTACCGTGCAACTACAGCAAGGAATTAAGAGAGCTAACAGAATGTTATCATTTATCACAACGCAAATCTAATTCAAAATCAGAAAGGTTAAGCATCAATTAGACGGGGTTCTGGTGTAATCACATCTGGCGTACTGTGTGCTCAGTATTGGTCATCTTATTTCAGCAAAGATCTGATGACCTGGGATGAGCAGGTTTTCTTCTAAGGAAAGATTAGATGGGCTAGACTTCCATTGGTTGGAGTTTAGAAGAAGAAGTGGCAATTTGATTGAAACATATAAAATCCTGAGGGGACTTGACAGGGTAGATGTAGAGAGAATGTTTTCTCTTGTGGAAGAATCTAGAACTAGGGGTCTCTGTTTAAAAATCAGAGATCACATATTTAAAATCAAGGTACTTAAATGTTTTTCTTTCAGTGGATCAGGAATGTTTGGAACTCTCTTCCTAAGAAGGTTGTGGAAACAGAGTCCTTGAATGTTTTCAAGGCAAGGAGGATAGATTCTTGTGAAGCAAGAGGCTTAAAGATCATCAGGCATGGGTGAAAATGCAAATTTGAGATTACAATTTAAATGGTCATTGGATAAACATATGGATGATAATGGAATAGTTTAGGTTAGATGGGCTTCAGATTGGTTTCACAGGTCGGCGCAACATCGAGGGCCGAAGGGCCTGTACTGCGCTGTAATGTTCTATGTTCTATGTTCAATGAGTTCATTCTTATTGAGTGGTGTCGCGAGCTTGATGGGTTGAATGGCCTGCTACTGCTTCCTGTTCATATGTAAGCACACAATTATTCTTACAGTGGGGAGGAAAATTCTGTTTTTGTATGCTATAAATCTTAAACAAATTTATATCTCTTGGAAAACAAATCTTCCAGCTCAGCTCAGAATCACAAGTACATGCTTCTTAACATTGGAAAAGAAAGATCAGTTTCGAAATGGGAAGGTATGAGTTAATGCTTTGTTTTACGACACAGGCAAGTGTTTATCAGGGAGAAAATTAAATTAACTGACATTTAAAGACTCATTATGCTTTCTAAGCATTTTGTAATGGAATTTAGATGGCTTATTATTTGGCGCGAATGTTGGATTTATGGGTCCATATAATGTGGTGCAAATGTGGACACTAAACCATGCTTCATTCTTGCAAGCAAATGTGACTATTACCCTTTATTTTTCTCCAAAATCTGCACATCTGTTTAAACCAACAGGTATGTTGAAGGAAGAATTCCAATATACATGCCTGTGGACAGATAGTGATAGATGACAGTAGGTTTGGGAGGAACTGTTGCAGTTGAATGGCATCTATTCAGCACAATGTAGTTTTAATCGAGGTCTGCTAATTAGGAGGAATTAAACTCACTTCATAAACAGACTGGCTGTATATGAATCGGTACGATTTGCAGTGCTTCTTGGGGTAATCAGTTAGAGCAAGCCCTTAAATTTTGAAGCTTTTTGAAGTGATAATAAGCAATGTGTCAAGTAATGGTACACAGTTTGTTTTTGGCAGCCATGTAAAGGCAACAGCCCAATAAACTTTTTATTATCAATCTAACATATTTCTGTCATATCCATTTAAGAGCTTCCATTTGTAAAGGTATCATTTCAGATATGCCATTTTGTAAATTTTCAACAGGACTGGAGTCATAGGAGCAAAATTACAATCTAGATCTTGGTAAATCTGTTTAGGTGACCGAAAATAGGACAAAACTTCTTCTTGGAGATAATTCTTTCTCGTTCTGAGGAAACTGAGAAATGCTCATGGCAGTTGCATGACCAGATCTTTTGCCTATCTTCCTTCCTTCAGGAGTCCTGGCTGGACCTCTCATCCCCCTCACCTTCAAAACTACTTCTCCATCTTGAGAAGAGATATCTTCACTGCTTTTTCCCCTCAGTTTCTGCAATGAGATTTCAAATCCTCAGTAATTTCATTGACTGCTTAACTAACATAGCACTTTCTCACTTGATTTTTCCTCCATATAAATGCTTGTATCCATCTGACAAACCCACTTAACATCTGTATGTCATGAAGCTTTTCCACGTCTGTTTTCTGTGTCAGAGACAGGGCCATCTCTGATCGCTTTACTGTGTTCCTCACCACTTATGTTGCATATCCGTATAAGATCTGGCATTTGCTTTAATTTAGTTTTAAGACTTTGTTAATTACAATCTCAGACTAAATGGGAGAGCAGATCTAAAAAGTGCTTCCAGTTCAGACTAGCTACAGAACCACATTAACTGTGAGGGTGTTTTCACAATTGACTTTACGTTTTCTGCGATAAACACAAGTCATGGTTCTGAGCAAAGTGCAGTAGTCAACAGTTGTGTTCATGATGGAACACCAGTCCTCAGTCTCCAGTTGACTGTGGTTGCCCTCTCTCTTGTTTGAAATTCATTTTCTGTTGTCGTTTGTTTTGATGATGGTGTGTGCTTTGTATCTGAAAATCTTTATTGTATACACTCTCCTGAGCTTGGCTGTGTGCATTATGGTACCTCGAGCCTGATTTAGGTTGTTACTGGTGTCCTTTGGGGTGTCCCAGATTCATGGTCCCTTGTTGTTTATTCAATTCCAGAAACATGGCTGAGGGAGGGACAGGACTGGCAACTCAATGTATAGATGCTATAGAAAAGATAGAAAGGGAGGCAAGGTGGGGTGACGGTGGGTGGTGTTTTTGATTAGGGAAAACATCGTAGTAGTACTTAGAATGGGTATTCCTTGGGGATCATCGAGTGAAACTATGTAAATGGAACTGAGAAACAAGATAGGAATGATCACCTTGATAGGATTGTACTGTAGGCCCCACAACAGTCAGTGGGAAATTGAGGAGGAAATATGTAGGGAAATCTCTGATATCAGTAGGAATAATAGGGTTGTAATGGTAGAAAATTTTTAATTTCACAAGCATAGACTGGGACTGCCATAGTGTTAAGGGCTTTAATGGGGAAAAAATTGTTAAGTGTTTCTTCATCAATATGTAGATGTACCTATTCGAGAGAGAGCAACACTTGACCTTGTCTTGGGAAATAAGGCAGAGCAAGTGACTGAGGTGTTAGTTGGGGAGCACTTGGCATCAGGGACTGTAATTCTATTAGTTTTAACATAGTTATGGAAAAAGTTAGATCTTGCCTACAAGATAAAGTTCTAAATTGGAGCAAGACTAATTTTGATGGTATTAGACAGCAACTTTCAAAAGTTGATTGGGGTAGGTTGTTCACAGGTAAAGGGATGACTGGCGAGTGGGAGGCTTTCAAAAGCAAGATAATGAGATTTCAGAGACTATGCTCCTGTTAGGATAAAGGGCTAGGGTGGTAGGAGGAGGGAACACAGCATACCTAGAAATATTGAGGCTCTGGTCAAAAAAAGGAGGCACATGTAAGGTATAGACAGCTGGGATCAAATAAATCCCTTGAGGAGTATAAGGATGGTAGGTGTATACTTAAGAGGGAAATCAGGAGGGCATAAAGGGGACATGAGATAGCTTTGACAGATAAGATTTAGGAGAATCCAAAGAGATTCTACATGTATATTAAGGACAAAAGAGTACCTAAGGACAGAATAGGGCCGTTAAAGATCAACAAGGCCATCTATGTGTCGAAACACGAGGTAGATGACATACTAAATGAATATTTCACGTCAGTATTTACTGTGGAGAAGGACATTGAAACTAGGGAACTTGGGGAAATAAATAGTGATATCTTGAAAAGATTCCACATTACAGAAGAGGAGGTTCTGGAGGTCTTAAAACTCATGAAGATAGAAAATAATCCCCGGGACCTGGTCAAGTGTATCCCAGGACACTGTGGGAAGTTAGGGAAGAAATTGCAGGACCCTGGCAGAGATATTTGTCTCATCTACAGCAACAGTTGAGGTGCCTGAAGACTGGAGAGTGGCTAATGTTGTGCTTTATTTAAGAAAGGCTGCAAGGAAATGCCAGGGAATTATGGACCGGTGAGTCTAACATCAATGGTGGGTAAGTTGTTGAGAGGAATCTGAGACACAGGATTTACATGCATTTGGCAAGGACTGATTAGGGATAGTCAGCGTAGCTTTGTGTGTGAGAAATCGTGTCTCTCAAACTTGATTGAGTTCTTTGAAGATGTGACTAAGAAATTAGATGAAGGCAGAGCGATAGACATTGTCTACATGGACATTAGCAAGCTCTTCAACAAGGTTCCACATGGTAGACTGGTTAGTAAGTTTAGATGACATGGGATCCAGGGAGAGCTAGCCAATTGG